TCTTCCTCTTCCTCCTCCACCTCCACCTCCTCTTCCTTCCCCTCCTCCCCCTCCCTACCCAGAACATAGAACAGGGCGGCAAAGAACTGCTGGACACTGAGGTGGATGAAGGAGTAACAGCCCCCACAGTCTCTGTCCTTCCGAAGGATGTTCCTCTCCAGGAAAGGACTGATCTCAAACTCCTTGGCCCCAAGTCTCTCGAGGTCCTCCACACCAAACACAGACCCCTGGGTCCACACCCCCTCAGCTGCCAGGAGACACAGAGTCTTCAATACGGCGCCCAGGCCCTCGAGGTGGTCGCTGGTGGGTACCAGCGTGAACTGGTTGCAGAGAAAACGGAAGAAGAGCGATGTGACGGTCTGGCAGGTGGGGGCAGGGTCCTGCCCGTGGTCCATCTGCAGCTTCAGACAAGTACAGACGAGCCAGCACACCGCGGGGGCCGAGGCCAGGCTGCACAAGGCCGGGTTGCTCTTCAGTAAGTTGAACGCTTTCTGGGCTTGCTCTCCATCCTGGAAGTGTTCCAGGAAATAGGCCGACTTGTCCACCTCCAGGTAGCCTTCGACGTCAATGAAGAGCGGCTCTTCCAACAAGGAGCGGAGCTCTCTCAGCATCCAGGGCTGCGTGGTGATCAGCAGAGTGACATTGGGGAGGAGCATCTTCTTCAGTAGACTACTCAAGAGGATGGGTACAGGCTTCTGCTTCTTCCAGTTACCGGTTACATCTCGGAGCAGTGCCCCAGGTGGGAACCTCAGCTCGTTGAAACCATCGATGACAAACAGGACATTGTGGGCTTCGGCGATGACGGCCGGGATGTTATCTTTCAGCTCTGGATAGCACTTCGACATCAGCTGGGCGTAACTGCATGGCCCCATTTTGCGGAGCTCCCGGCAGTTCAGGTAGAAGACATACTGGAACGTCTCCTCCAGTCTGTCCTCTGCCCAGTCCATCATCAGCTTCTTGGCCAGCGTGCTTTTCCCAACCCCGGCAGGCCCACGCAGAACCACTGTGTACGGCAACGGCCCCGCGAGCGTCTCGGGACTGTAGAACGGGACCATGGTCGCATATCTCTGGCAGACGAGAGGGAAATTTTCTATGGCCCCAGGGTAGAAGTTGTTCTCCCAGATTTTCACAAACAACTTCTTCAATATAGGGATATACTCATCCCCGTGACCTTCAGAGATAGAAAGGGAGAGGACGGAGAGGGCATTGTTAGTTACCGGTTAAGAAAAAACAGAAAAAAACGAAAAACCCAACAAAAAGCCCCAGAAAACAACAAAAAGCCAAACAAAAACAATCCCCTTTGTATTATGCAGCAATGCAGGAGAACAAAAAATGTGTACGCAGCACCACCCAACACCCAACGCATCCCGAGATAGGACCAGTCTGTTCAATAGTCATTTGCTTGTAGGTTTTTGGAAAATCTTCCCTTGCCCACATAACTTCTGCCAAAGCAGCAACAAAAAAACCGAAAGAGGCTTGGCACAGTAGCCTGTTCTTCCTTTTATCAAAAACACGATCAAGCAGGCTCCACAGCACATGCAGGGAGGTACAACGGCTGTGTTCATGATCACGATGATCGATAGGCCAGATGCCGCCTTAAACCAAGAGCCATCATCGGCGATCAAAACCCAACAGGCCATATATAGCAATTCATGGTGGGGCTGGCAGGTTAGCAGTGGGCTACTCTCCACAAAGTTGGGGGCTCAAACCCACCAGCCACTCCATGGTAGAGAGATGAGACCAGCTGATCTTGTAAAGATGAACAGCATCAAAAGCCTATGGAGGGTTACTAGGAGCTCAGAGTCCTGGTGGCACAGTGGTTACGCGTTGGGCCGCAGCTCGGCAAGATGAGTTCAAAGCCACCAGCTGATCCTTGGGAGAAAGATGGAGCCTTTCACTCCTGTAAAGAGTTACAGTATGGATCGGATTGAACTACTGAATTACAGGATGTGAGTGGTAGGCTAATAAACTGTTGGGGAAATAGTTATAATCTGGGAAATTCTCAGGGCCAATTCTACACTGCCCTATAGGTTCACTATGAGTCAGCATCGAGTGGTGGTGAGTTTGAGACCAGTCCCAGGCAAAAGACATCTGCTTGGTCAAGCAGAGGGGGAACAGCAAAAGAGGACGACCCTTGAGAACATGGATTGACCATGGCGGTAACAATGGGCTCAAATCATTGTAGGGATGACAGACTGGGAGGTATTCACTTCTGTTGAATGTAGGGTCCCTCGTTATGAGTTGGAGCCAAATTGATGGCCCCTAACATGAGTCAGAGTCAAATTGATAATGGTGGGTTTGGTTATTTTTATAGCAAGTTCTACACTGTATTAAATAAATTTACATGGGCCTATAGTACTAGACCATGCGCTCCTTGAAGAATCTTCTGGTCTTGGTCATCTAGGAATCCAAAATTTTAGTCAAATATGAATATGTGCAGTGGATACTGTCATGGTTTGAAGAATATCCCTCTAAGCTCATGTCCACTTGAAACCTCAGTATGTGACCTTATTTAGGAATAGTCTCTGCAGATATAATCCAGGATAAACAAGATCTTTATAAGAGGGAGGGCGTGGATTTGGACACAAAGACACAGGAGAAGCACACAAAGAAAGGAGTCATATGAAGACATAGAAACAGGAGTTATGATGTCCACAAGTTAAGGAATAGCTGAGATGCCATGAGAGACTGCAAGAAGAAGCTCCCCTAGAAGGTTTGGAGAAGATTGGCTCAGCCAAGACCTTGACTGTAGGCTTCTAGCCTCCATAATTGGAAAAAAAAAAGGCTGTTTAACAAAACCTATTCTATAGTGCTTGAGGTTCTTTAACTTCCATGTGACCATCGAAGGCACAGCAAATGATCTTTATTCACCTAAAAAAACCCCCAAAAAACCCATCCAGGAAAGTCAATTAACAGGAAGATACAGAATGTGGCTGTCTGCCTCCTTGAACAACTGTCTCCTCCTTTGCCATGTGAGCAGAAGAACTGGATGGTGTCAGGCCACCACTGCTGACCATTTTTATTAATGAAATGCTATAGAAGAAATCTTGAGGGAAAGGTAGATAGTGCATAGAATTTGAAATGCTTGTGGGCTCTAGACTTTCAGAAGCTGGGGCAGGGTGGATTGGATACACCTCTGAAGTACTGCTTTGAGAAATCCTTAACAAATTACCCTCTCCTGAAGTCTTCAACCAAACACCTTCATGCTGGTGAATCACACTGAGACTGAGTGCCCTGGAGAGACACCATTGGACCCACAAGACTTTGCACCCACCAGCTTGTGATCTTCCTGCATTTTGCATCATTGCTTGTGGTTGCTGAAGTCTGAGGAGGGATTGACGGACTAGTATCAGACTGATGGACTAGATAGATCTGGGCTGGGCTGGGATGTTTTCCTAAATATACAATTACTTCTTGATATAAAGCCTATATGACTGTCATGGGATTTGTTTTCCAGCCTAACATATTTCTTTATAGTGTGCTCAATAAAGTACAAAAGAAAAATGAACAAACCAAAAGTCCATACATTGTACTCATCTTTTCCTGCTGATCTGAGAGCTAGAATAATAAAGACAGATGATCACCCTAATGGCTGCAGCAGTGTTTAAGTACCAATACCAAATCACATGCTACTGGTCTGAAGTACTTGACAACACCCAGGTGTCTCCTCCAAGAGAAATGAAGACTTGGCTACACAAAGCCCTGCCCAGTCAGTTCATTTAAGTCAAAAGGAAAATCCACAAATTGGACTTAAAAAGTGGTCTATGTCCTAATGACGGGCTTGTTCAGCAACACGAAGGGCTGATGACACAGGAGGACCTGGGAGGGTCCAACAAAAGAGCACCAAGTGCGATGGAGCAACGATGAAAAATACTACTCTTCTCTGGTTCCTAAATGTTTCCTCCCCGCTCCCACGATCATGATATGAATGCCACCTTGCAAGTCTGGCTAGACCAGAGGATGTACACTGGTACAGATAGGAACTGGAAATCCAGGGAATCCAGGGTGGATGAGCCCTACAGGACCAGTGGTGTGAGTGGCGATATTGGGAGGGTAGAGGGAGAGTGGGTTGGAAAGAGGGAGCCGATTACAAGGAACTATATGTGGCCTCCTCCCTGGGGGACGGACAACCGAAAAGTGGGTGAAGGGAGACGTCGGACAGGGCAAGATATGACAAAATAATAATTTATAAATTATCAAGGGCTCATGCGGGAGGGGGGAGTGGAGAGGGAGGGGGAAAATGAGCGGATGCCAGGGTCTTAAGTGGAGAGCAAATGTTTTGAGAACGATTATGGCAACGAATGTACAAATGTACTTGACACAATGGATGTATGTATGGATTGTGATAAGCATTGTATGAGCCCCAATAAAATGATTTTTAAAAAGTTTATGTATATATTGTTCATTTTAATTAAGGGATATTTATAGGATCAAGGAGTGGAAAAAATAATGTTCCAGGCAGACTTGACTAATTTTAGGGTTAGAAATACAACTGCACATGTTCTTTCAGGAGCAAGGATCAAGACACGCTGGCTTGCTGACTTGGGATAGGTCTCTCAGGAAAGACCAAATGGCTAGAAAAACCCATCCATGCTTAGAAGAGGGTCAATGAAGACAGAAACTCTTGAATGGATTGGTACCAATAGTCACAATGTGCTTAACCACACCAAAACCGTCATGAAGATGGCACAGGAATGGTGACATTTCATTTTACACACAATCCCCAGGGCTCAGAGCCAACTGGATGGTAACTACCAATAACAAGCCTAGGTTGGCATTATATGTCAGCTTAGGCTAGACACATCCCTATGATGTATTGTCTTGTGAGTTACTAATCAAACTTACCTGACCTTCCAGGTTCTATCACATCCACATTAAGTTTCTAAGAGCTGAATTCCAATTTTACCCCATGTCTAATTTGCCCTTCATTCCTGCGGGAAGGTTGTATTTTCCATGAAAAACAAACAACGTATTCAGAAAAAGATGAATGAGAATGAAGCAATGAAGGGTAGGCTCCATTAGCTTACTCACCTTGTTCACCTGCCGTATTTGTTTCTTCCGATTTTGAATCTTGTGGTTCAAGAGCCCCAATGGTCTCTGAAGGAAAAAGGTTTACGGGCTCGTTACAATGGTATTGCTGAAAGTCACATCGAGAGAAAGTTTTTTTTCAAAATGGTCCAAGTTCAGCTATTGGGTCTCAATAGTGGAGCCTAGATTATGCAATTATGCTAATAAGACATTGGATGTGGAAAAGGTGGTTTCAGTCCATCTCAGGCTTACGTGCTTTTTCTGGGGAGGGGAGATAAACACGCACATCACTCCACACTTTCCCCCTCCCCTCCCCTCTCAGGGTAGCAAGGAAGGCTTCGTGGATGAATCCCTGGGTTTCTGGAAGGGCCGAGTGTTCAGTGCACTGGGAAGGAACAGGTGCAGAGTGGGATCATGATGGGAAGTCATTTCTCAAATTCAGCTTTGGCTAATGAACAAAGGGTGACTCCCTGGGAGTCACCGATATCCAGTAGGCAAATGGATAGGAGCCTGTGAAGTTCAAGGGAAATGCTAGACTGGACCAAACTTTCAGGAAATAGGAAGATTCCAGTCTGTGGAGTGAAATGAACCAGTGGGTTGTCCCTTTTGAAGGTGAGGCACCTGGGGATGGGGTGATCATATGCAAATCGTACAACTAGGATAATGTTGTGGGAGCCCATGAACGGGGTTCTAAACCAAGCACTACTCTGGGATGGAGACCTGGTGGCACAGTGGTGACCCATCAAGCTGGGAGCTGATAGGGTCAACAATTTGAAACCACTGGCCATTCTGTGGGAGAAAGAAGGGATTTTCTCTTCCTGTACAGTTAGTCTCGGAAACTCAAAGGCAGTTCTAGCCTGTCCATGGGGTTGTTATGAATCAAAATCAACTGGATGACAGCGAGAGTGGCCATTCACCTATGTACCTACCTACCAGGTTATTATCTACCTACACGTATCTACAAGCTACCCATTGAGCCATATCGATGGATCTATTTTTGTATTGAGCTCTGGAACTATGAAGTGACTGGACTCTGACCAGTTAAGCTACTGATTTATCTATGGAGCTATGGAAGTACATATATGTATACAGGGGCTTTATGAAGCTCATAGAAAATGGAAGTAAAACATAATGGGACCTTTTCATGAATTTTTAAAAACCTTCATGTGTGTGAGTGAGCGTTTACTTCCACCACCACCCCCTCTTTAGGGACATTTTAAAAAGTATTTTTAAAAAGTTCTCTTGCTGATTGTAAAGAGTTCAAGAGGGAAACCTAAAGCTCAAGAAAAAGGTGTCTCCCCGTCAATTGGTATGATAAGTTGATTCATGCGCATCGAATATCCAACTTTGCCAAGGCCTGGTCCCTTCAAGAATCTTCACATCACCAGATTGCCACTTCCCACCATGATTTGTCTGAGGTTTCTCAAAGCCAGAGTATCAGAGAGCTTCTCCAAAAAGAGGCAGTATGAGGTCATTTACCCGTGGATGCAGATGGCGATATTGCAATGAAGCTTCTCCCGGCTGCCTCTGAAAAAGAAGGGGTTGATAAAGTCGGTCTCATTCAGAGGCAAACCCTACTAGACATGAAACTGGGTCCTCCTCTCTCCCCATTTTCAAAGTAGAGGCTGAAAAAAAGACTTGAGCATCGATCTCTAAGCTGGTATAGAAAAGAGCAATTTTTAAAAGAATAGTGAGTAGTGTCATGCAGTGACCGTATTGAATGGTCTCCTCCTCCACCTTCACATGTATCAAAGTCCCCACTCCTGTATTGGTAAATTATTTGGAAATAGGGCATTGCTTTTTTGCGAATGAGGCGATACCAGCTGTTGTGGAGGCGAACTGTGCCACAGCGCCCTCCCCAGTCCTAATCACAAGGGACCTTCAGAAAGGCCCTGGGAAAACTGGGATAATGGAATCAGCTGGAAATCCCAGCCTTTAGATCTGTGGATTGATTTGGGAAATGGGTTGTTTTTGTGTTGCGACAGGATTTGTGTAGGCTGTGTCTTCAATCTTTTTGGCATTAAGAGCTTGATTTAACAAGCAAGCTAGCAGACACAGATGGGGGATCAACTCCGTGGGATCTAAAAGTCAAGCTAAGGAGCAGGAGAGGAAATGCTCCCTGGAACAGTGCTCTCAGGAGCCCCGATGGTGTCAGAGATTAAGTGTTAGCCTGCAATTCCACCAGCTGCTCCCGGTAAAGGCTTATAGTCTTGGAAATCCTCTGGAGTAGTAATTCTCCTCTGGTCCTTCCTACAGGGTCAGCCACAGTTGGAATCAACTCGATGGCATGGGGTAGATTGATCATGCTGACCAACATGTCAGCCGCAAAAGCAAGCTACTTAAGCAACTCATCATTGTCTGCTACCTACACACAGCCCTAGTGGTGCAGCTACTCATGATAAATGGGTGGCGTCAATCCGCCGGTCGCTCTGTGGGAGAGAGACCCAGAGACCCAGAAGATTTACCACCCAGAGGCACGATGGCCAACGCCCAGGTGTGTGGGAAACAATCTGGATGAAAGTGGAAGCGGCCTAATCTCTCCACTCATGACCACGGGCCTTGGAAGACCGGCTCTAGGGAGAGAAGACTTTCAGGCTGAGCTAGAGCTAAAACCGAACAGGCACTCAGAGAGAAAGCGCTCTCTCCACAGCTACCCTTGTTCAGCCGCTAACGTGAAGCCGTCATTGACAGGCACCTGGCTTCTCGCTCCTCCAAAAGATGCTTCTAAGAGCAGGCAAGACGCTCTTCCGTCTCTGTCCTAATCGCAGTCAGTTTAAGTCCAGATGCACATGCTTCTCCAGGAAATAGGTTCTTCACACATGACCTCTACAGAATAAATTACTTTTCCAACGGATGCCTAGTTTCTCACACACACCATTAAGAACATGCGAATCTCTCAAAGCATCTGCGGTTTGCTATTCGGAAAGAGCCATGGTCACCATTTGTCCCCTCGCCTGCCAGACACTTGCTTGGAGGGGTCCTCCCTGAAGAACTCAGGCTGCCTCATTCACACGTTGCCTTACCTAATGTCCATGTGCCTAACGAAGGCTCACATGTCTCACCACGATACATACGGTGACATCAACTAGCGCTCTCGATTCAGATATTGGGACAGGCTCCTATTGCTGGCTCTCTATAGTCTTTTTCTTCTTTAACTAGACAGACCCGCTCGACGCTGGGGCTGGACCCCACACTCGTGCTCTGCTTTCATAAAGCTCCCAGCGACTGAGAATTATGGGACGCGGTTCTACCTGGTACTGGCAGGGCTGCCACTGAGTCCGGGACCAGAAAATCCCACTCGAGGCTCTGGATGACCATTTCAAAGAATGTTCTACATTCTTCTCTGGCTACAATTAGTCCAGTGGACTAAAGGACCATGCAACCTTTTCCATCCCTGAGACCCAAAGAACTGGATGGTGCCTGGTTACCACTTCTACCGACTGTTCTGAAAGTAACCTTAGAAGGTTGTGGACAGAGTGGGAGGAGAATATGGAATTGTTAGGTTGCTAGTTCAGGGACAGGGATTGTCCCTGCCATGCCTGCAAAGGCCCCCATGAAGGAGGTTGGGGAGAACCCAGGGAACCATTAGACACCTATGAAGATCCCCCAAATGAGCATCCTAAAATTCAAGCTGCCCCAAGCTAGATAGGAGGTACATCCGGGAGGCCCAAACTAGGCCTGGGCCCATGACACCCAGGTGGGCTTAATACAGCCAATGGGGTCAACCAATACCTTCAGCCATACCTCTCCCAGTCAGGGGGTGGGCTGGAATAAAGGCAGGGAGCACACTCGGGGGTGCTCTTGGTACACTCTACTACCCTGTTCCTGGACAGAGGCAGGTCGGAGGATGGAGGCGCATACGCACCCGCCTGGGGGTTCCTCCTTAGGGCCCGGCTCCAGGCCTGCTTGGGACCCACAGTCGCTCTTTGGCCCCTCTGACTGTCATCGCTCGTGTGCAGCCTCTCAGGCCCCCATTTTGTGTATGTGGGTGCGTTGTCCCACGAGCTTGCTCATGTTCAGCTGTGAACTTCCACGTTTTGGCATGCTTCCCCGAAATAGCGTGTACTCTTTTCGACACTGTAACACCCAGAACTTGTCTGGCCCTTCCTCAAAACACACTTGGATTACAAAACGGCCTTCGGCGTGAATTCTTTCATGGTGCGAAGCCAAAAACGGAGGCACTGCCCACTAGAGCAACCTGACAATCACAGGAGAGACTGGCAGAAACCAGGACCATGGCCTTGTTAATCCGCCTTTCAGGTCTGGAACTGAAGCTCGCCATCTCCCCACTGCCCGTGTTTTTGATCCAAGCATTTGAGATCTAAAAGGGCAGCATTCACACAGGGACAAAGAGCTGCAGGGCTCTGAAAGGATGAATGGAAGTGGGATAAGCCACGGATGAGGTAAAACAAGTAGGGATTTGGATCTAAAACTACAGTCATGTGAACCCTCCCCCTAATTTACAACAAAAGAGGCAGACACGCCAACCCTTCAACAGCATCTGGTGTAACTTCTCCCAGGTGAAGTTTTCAGCATTTCTACCACGCTGGCCACCGCCATTCACCCATCTCCCCGCAAAATGGACTCATTTCTGCTTACCCCAGCGTTCATTCGCAACTCTCTCGTGCAGGTCGGTCTGGTTGCTCTTGTTAAAGAGGAGAAGCGACATCGTGTCTACCCAGAAGCGGCGGCAGTGCTGAACCATCGTTTCTGCCAGCTGCCTCCCGTTGGCTTCATCGATCCCCTCCATGGTGGGGAGCTCCTGGCTGTGGAAGACGCTCTGCTGGGGAAGGGACTTCAGGAGGGTTTTGAACTGGCCCAATTCCTTCTGGTTCAGCTCTTCCAGAAGCGCAGCCAGGTCGAGGTTCACCTGTCCGACAGACGCCATCTCGACCAGCAAAGCGGATCTTAGGATTTGACCGGAAGACAATCAAGAACACGGAGTCTGAAAGCCAACAGAATCAACAGATAACTCAGGAGCCCTGGAGGTGTCAGGCCACTAACGGCAAGGTCAGAAATTCAAAACCACCAGCAGGCTGCTCTAAGGAGGAAGGGGAGGCTTTCTGCTCCCGTTCAGAGCTAGTCTTGGGAACCCACAGGGGCAATTCTACCCCGCCCTATCCAACGGTGAGTCGGCATGGACTCAATCGAAGGAGGGCTGAATTTGGTATTTTAATCAAAGCCCGCCTCGAGCATCACGCGTTAGAAGATCTTAGGAGGCGACAGTAATGGGAAGGTTATGGACAGGAGACTAAGTGGGTTAGCGAGGAGTTGGTGGGAATGGGCGTAGGAATAACACAGGAGGCGGAGAATGAGTGCACTGTTTCAGCGTGAACCAGGGTCACGGAATTGTGCGTGCAGCAAAGGGTTGAGTTGATGAATGTCTTGTGCATATTTCTCAACACCGGCAACATACAGGGAGAGGAGAAAGCTAGATCTGCCCTCCATGCCAGTCACTACGCAGATGGCCGTCATGTGCCTGGAACAGGGCGATTCTACTGCCCAACCTGCTCCTTCATGGGCAGCTTCTCCAATGGAGGGAAAACTCCGGTAGGATTTGCTTATTCATGCAGTCTTAGTCCAGTCCCTGAGACCTGCTTTTACAGACAAGCAATAACAGGCTCTCGGTTGTCCTCTTATCCCAGATGGGCAAGCACAACACTACGGCCATTTAGAAGCGCCAGAGTCAAGTCATTTACAAATGAAAGGAATTCTGCCCCTCATGGCCACATATGTGCAAATGTGCGGGATACAGTTGATATATGGATTGTTATAAGAGCTGTTAAGAGCCAATAAAATGATACAAAGAATTCTGTCCCACTAGAGCAGTGGTTCTCAACCTTCCTAATGCCTCGATCCTTTAATATAGTTCCTCATGTGCTGGTGACCCCCCAACCATAACATTTTCATTGCTACTTCATCACTGTCATTTTGCTTCTGTGATGAATCGTCTTGTAAATATCTGATATGCAGGATGAATTTTCATTGTTACAAATTGAACACAATTAAACATAATTACAGCATAGTGATTAATCACAAAACATGTAAGTATATATTGTGAAATATTTGTGTTTTCTGATCGTCTTAGGCGACCCCTGTGAAAGGGTCGTTTGACCTCCAAAGGGGTCACGACCTACAGGTTGAGAACCACTGCACTAGAGGCTAGATTAAATCTGTCAACACCCAATGGGAGTTTTAAAGGCTGGTGGTTCACTATACATAAATATGACCTCTTATAATCATGGCTGGAAGCAGTTCGACCTACATGCATAGCAGGATTCCCGCTGCGGCAAGGTAATGAGATGGATGCCCTGTTGCATTCCACCCCAGGGATCCCCTACGACCGAAGACCGTTTTCGGTGGAGTCCAAACTGCTCTTTATGGAGAGCCCTGGTGGTGCAGCGTGGGAAACAGAGAAGGGGAAGAGTGTGTGTACAGATGAATCCTTTATTCTCATATAAGAAGAAGCCTGGCAGGCTGGGTTTCTGGGGGTGGAGGGAGGCCTTCACCTGTGTGAGTTGGAGGTGAGTCCCAAGCACATTCTCAATGAATATTGCCCCCCACTATACCCTCCCATCATAATGCTACCTTAAAGTGACCTCTTACAAGCACCTGGCTGATTGCCCTCCGGCTGACAGCTTTAACTGTAGGAGCAGATGTGTGCTCTTGCTGGCTAAACTCTGAAGACAGCCACTCCTCCTTAGCTGCCCTGGGCACTGGTGTCAGGTTACTCCTCCAATGTACTTAGGGACCTTTTAGGGTTAGGGTACAGCCCACTTTGTTACTTATATGACTACCTGTTAGTGCACACTCCCCTTTTTCTTTGCAGTGGGGTGTTGAAACAAGAGGGCTACTTAAACTAGGTACAAGGGGATTTTTAAAAGTATAGGGTGGTGGTGGTGGTGATCAACTATTGGCTAATCTTAATGTAAGACAGAACCCTGCCCCCTGCCCCCTTTGCTGAGGTCAAACCTGTTGCTAACAATTGGGCTCTCCACCCACCTGCAACCAGGATTGGGACTCATTCTCCATGAGACAATCCCTCACCATCAAGTTGATTCCACCCCACAGGGGGCCCTATAGGACACAGAACTGCTTCTGTGGGTTGGTTCCTGAGGCTGTCAATCTTTCTGGGAGACAACTGCCTCATCTAGATCAGACAAAAGGAGCCCTGGTGTTTCTGGGGGTTGATGTTGAGCTGTGAAGTGCCAGGTTGGCAGTTCCAACCCATCAGCCACTCTGTGGGGGAGGAAAGAGGAGGGGGTCTGCTCCAGTCAAGACTGATGGCCTCAGAAAACCTTAGAGAGTTCTACCCTGTGCCACTGGGCGCCACTAGGTGAAATCCATTCAAGGGCAAAGAGTTTGAGTAAGACAAGGTTACCTTCCACAGGAGAGTGTGTCTGGGAGTCTTTTCCAACCTGGGTTAGGCTTTTATGCTTTTTGGTTTCCTTGGTAAAAAAAACCTTAAAGAATCAGACTCACTTTTCTCTTTAACAGTTGAGACCAACCTTTCTGTTGGCAGCATGACCAGGGCTCTGCTTCTCTCTCAAACTCACTCTCTCTCCCGCACGCACACACACATGCATGCACGCATTGTGCACAGCTCTCAGGGCTATGGGAAATCACCACTAGGTTTAGTTAGCCTGAATTTTGTTATGAGAAAATTTTATAGGAGAATGCTTCAGCCATTAGACCCCACTGCTTTTGAGCTGATTGATTTATCAAGGGCCCTGTAAGGGCAGGGTGAACGGTCCCATGGGATTCCTGAGTCATATTCTTCATGGAAGTGGGCAGCCTTCCTCTCTTTCCCTGCGGAGCAGCTGGTGGGTCTGAACTGCTGACCTTGTGGTCAGCAGCCCACTGCTTAGTCTGAACTGAACTTGGACTTTTTTTTTTAAACTAAACAAATTCACTGCCATTGAGTTAATTCAGATGCACAGCACACCTATAGGCCCCTATGATTCCTGAGGCTATAAATCTCGGGGAGCAGAAAGTCTAGTCTTTCTCCTTGATGGGTTTGACCTGCTCACTTTGTGGTTAGCAGCCTGAGACTTTATCCACCACTCATTATACCACTAGGCCTGTTAGAGGAACAAAAAATTCCCCTTGTATCCAGCAGATAAGATCTCCTAAAAGCAATTAAAAAAATCAATTTCAGGAAGAAGGCAATGATTGATTTGAGAATGCTGTTCCTTGAAATTCAACTCAAAAGAATTGGATAGTAGCTTCAGGTGGACACCACCAAAGCTCATTAACCAGCAAGTATCTCCTCCCTCATTAACTGTCTACACATTGTTCTCATTTGGGAAAAGTTCAGGTTCCAGTGACTGGGGGGGGAACCCCCACCCCCAACCCAACATCCATCTATTGCCATTGAGTCAATAGACTCCTGGTGACCTATAGGACACAGTGCAACTGCTCCATAGGGTTTCCAAGGCTGGATTCTCTACAGAAGCAGACCATTTGTCTCTGGTGAAACAACCGTGGGTCCGGACAATCAACAGTTGTTAGCTGTGGTTAGCATTGACATACCAGGACACCATCCATTGATCTTAAGAAGGTCAATCGCTAATATCACCAACCATTAAGTGAAACTCCTCTCACTTGGGCCGGGGGACACCAGCAAGGTTGAGGAAAAAGGTGGAGAATGGAGTAAAGGGAGTAAGCACTGATTTTTTTTTTAATGGGATGGTCTATGTAAAAGGGGCCTGGTGCCAGAGTGGGGTTATGTAAAGGGCTGCTGACTTCAAGGTCAGCAGTTTGAACCCACCAGGTGGTCCTGGAGAGAAAGAGGAGGCTTTCCACTCCTGTAAAGAATTGCAGGGGCAAATCCACTGTTCTGTAGGGTTGCCATGGATTGTGATTGACACAAAGGAAGCGGGCTTGAACGTCATGGTGATGAGGACTTAGGAACCCAGGTGGCACAATGGTTGAGCTCTTGGTTGCCCACCAGTGCGTGGGCAGTTTGAAATGACCCGAGGATCAAACCCACCAGCAGCTTGACTCCCTCAGGGGCCTCCTTTGGAGAAAGCCCTGTTGGTCTGTGCCCATCAATCTGGCATTTGGAAACCCTGTAGGGAATGGCCGGGCTCTGCCCCATCGTACCAGCTCACTCCCAACTAGTGTCAAAACGGGGCATCATGTGAACCAGTGAGAACGAAAACAAGGAAACCCAGCGCAGCCAGCATGAGGGTTTCCTCCAAGGAAGGGCAGCTCAGACTCTAAAGGGTCGGTTACTGAACCCTCCCTCCCCTGGTCTTCATACCCGTGTGGTAGGACAAAGAGTGGATCTAAATGGGGCTTGGGTCTCGTTCACTTAGCTGTAGATACGAAAAACACAAGCATATGCATTCCAGTGGGGAATCCAAGCCTCCACTTAAAAACCTAGTCCAAAACCTTTGGGTGATGGTATGGGGTGGGGGAGGTGGGGGGGCATCTAGACCTCAGGGAATGCTTGGCTTTTCCAGGTTTCACTAACCCCCACATTCCAAACACACTGCCATCAAGTCAGTGCTGACTCAGTGTGCCATCTGTGGGTTCTGAGATGGTAACTGGTTAGGCAGGAGTAGACAGCCCAGTCTTTCGCCCTTGGAGCTGCCATGGGTGGTTTTGAACCGCCAACCTTTCGGATCGCAGCCCAACTCGAAACCACCAGGCCTCCTTTCCACCTTCCTACTGCTATTTGTGGCAGGGTTTTCCTTTTTTGGCAAGTTTCTGCCTCAGAGGTTCCAACGTGCCAGTTTTTAAGACTAATTAAAAAAGCTAAGTAGTTAGAGAAAGTGGGGGTTCTTGGCACACGGAATGAACATCTGGACCGAGACAGAGAGGGGCTCCGAGACCTCAGTGACCCTTCAAAACGTTGGGCATTCAACTGTCCACAGAGGAGAGTCTAGCTTAGAAACGCAAGTCCGCAGAGGAGATAGTCTAGCCTAGAAACACATCCAGCAGCTGAGTGAAGAGAAGTAGGGACGAAGAGAGGTCCCACTTACCTTTTTCCAGCGCCTGATGTAGGTGCTGGAGCCCCCACGAGCTCCCACCTCACCTAAAAGGGTCCTCTCCCGCCCCACGCCCCACAGCGTCTGTGATTGGCTAGAAGGACCCAATCCCCAGGCTCAGGCATGCACCCGTTGAGATTACTGACAGCTGGAAGCCAGGCCCGCATGCGCCCAGACAATGCCTTTCAGCCGTGGCTGACAGTGACAGCAAAGGTTCAGTCCCGGGGCCCATGCCCCTGAGATTCCCATTTACTGGTTAGGCGTGTGGCTGGCCAGACATCAGGGCGCTCTAGAGCAGCGGTTCTCAACCTGTGGGTCACGACCCTTTTGGGGGCGTCAAACGACCCTTTCACAGGGGTCTCCTAAGACCATCAGAAAACACACATTTCTGATGGTCTTAGGAACCGAGACACCCCTCCTCTATCGTCTGCAGGCGGGTCCGCCCACATGCAGATACACCCACCTACGAGTAGCCGGCTTAAAGACTGTTCCCCATGCTACACCATGCTTCAAGACACAATGTCATTGATTTGTCATTAGAAATACATATTTCACAATATAGAATGATGTATTGTTTTTGTGATTCATCACGATGCTTTCATGATGCTCAATTTGTAACCATGAAAATCCATCCTGCCTCTCAGAT